CTAGTGGTAGTAATTTTTGAGATAGGAAAAAACAAAAAAAGCACATGTAAGTAAGAAAAAAAAATAGCGAAATAAGAAGCAATCAGTTTTCATTGCTGACTTTTTGCAGCCGTGTCGGTTGCTGGCATAAAGCCAACAGTTGTTTGTAGACACGTCCAGACACGTAATTCTCCCAGCCCTGGCTTTCTAAGCGACTAACGAAGAGAAATTTCTTATTTTGGACTTTTTTGAGAGTACTTCCTGCTTTTTCTTCAGCTTCGATTCACTTAGCACCCAGTACTTCATAGTTGAACAGATAAGTCCCACGTTTTATCCCGGAGTTTGCCTTTAAAGCAAATGGAACACAAAAAAGAACAGTGACCAGTACCCATTAGCCATTGTAGCTCAAATACATTATTCTACTTAACTCTCTCTACATTCTAAATCGAGACAAGACCTCCAGGTCAATTCTAACAGCTAGCAATAATTAGCTAGGAGCCTGGCAACGGATGCGTACATCACGACTCCAGCCAACTAACCCACGCTTGGAAAGAAGTTCCCGAGTAAGGAATTTTCATGTGAAAGGAAAATGTAATAACGGGCCTCCCCCGTAAAGACCTGCGTGTAGTCCACGCGCGAATGTATTCAACAACAACGAAGGTGATCCTTAACCGTCTATGTGAACGGACCAACGCAGATTTACGTACCTCTGTTTCATGCAGCCAGAAATCCACGTGGCACACGTGGCTAAATTCTCGATGAAAAGGTGACGTCACGTGTGCTCAAAGATGTTCTTGAATCGATGCCACGTCAATGCCACGTCAATTTCTGCAATTGCACAATTTCTGGTTATTTGAAGGCGAGGGTACTTGCTTGTGAGGACCACACCCTCTTTTTGGCGCGGCCGACTTTCGCTCACAAATTCGGCGCAAATATATGCCACTTGAAGCAGCTTTTTGTAGGATTTCGAACACAAATACCAAACAGGTATAAGAGCAGTTCTAGGCTTTCATACTGTGAATTATTTTAAGAGAATTCCAAATTTGGACGGGGAACTCGCGTTTCAAAAGGGAAGGAGGGCAAAACCTTCAAAAGTTTAAGTGTCCAAGAGAATTTCCGGTACACTTCAAACCCCTTCCCATATCTGAGGGCTATGAGAAGACGAAGAAGTCCTGATTAGTAATTAATCTTCGGCCTATAATTATTGGGGTGTTACAAATGTTTTAAATGCACAAAGAAGGAAATTTTAAGGTGGCACCCACCATTGGGTGCCATTGTCCCACGCGACGAACATAGTGGCACCCACCGGTGGGTGCCATTGTCGTCAAAGGGTTAAAATAAAAGACAGCAACGGTAAGTGTCGAGAAAAGCATCAGCATTCATGATGAAACTGGCCAGGACGAGAAAAGAAGTGAAACATTATTAAGGGTGATCTCTCTCATCGACTGAGGCCGTCTATGGTGAGTTCTACTCCCATTGGCTATCCCTTCAGGCCTATGAACTGGCAGACAGTTTCGTAATGAAATCTTCAGAACTCGATGAACCTTATGTGCATACGGGTAAGCCTAAAGAAAAGATAATCTTGCCCAAGACGCACACACACTTTCATAGCATAAGGGTGTCGCCGTTGGTAGATAAGCAGATGAGGCCCGCCTGCCCTAAAACGTCGAAATATTCGCATCGCCATTGCTTGTCTCACCCCAACGAGGGCCTACCGTAATGCTCCAGGCGTGGAGGCTGCACTAATTTCACTCAAATGTATGAGAAGCTTCCATAGAAACAAGCAACTCCGACTAATACGTAATACCTCGCTTTCGACAAACGTCAAGATGAGGTCATAGTGGCCTACAATCCGTCGAGGACCTGGTCCAACTCACACTGTGCACCACGTTCCCGTGAGAACATCTTCTGATGTCGTTGGTGTAAGAAGCTATTATCAAGATTTCGCTGATGAACTGTGGCGTGTGCTTTTCCTTTCCGTTGGAAGCATCCGTTTGAATTGGCAAGTGGCGCTGCATACCGGGGTACAGTCCAAGGATCAAGTCCTGGACGTATGCCGCTCAAATCAACCCGTCTTTCCTTACTTACAGATCCCGCTAACTGCTCCAGACTCGTCTTCGAGGATAAAACAAATACTCTAACAATTTGAAAGGCCTCCTCAATGCCACTTGCATCGGCCAAATCGCATTCAAAGCACTCATGATTTCTGAAAATGAGTGAATCTGAGCCATAACCAAAAATCGACCTGAACCAACTCCCCGTGCATTACCACGATTCCTAACTAATACGGCTGAGGTAATAAAACTGGCATAACTGGGGACAAGCCACAACGTGAATATTCGTGGTCCACAAATCTCAATCATTTCAACTCAGCCTTTGTGGGCTCTGTTTTCTTGGTAACGAGCTTTTACGAGGATGGGAGCACTTTTCTTCCTTGCCTGGCTCCGCCAGTCGCTCGTATACTCCACGTACGCTTCCAAGTGTTTCTACGATCTGATAGATAGCGAACATGTGGCCGAAGTCAAAGCGTCTAAGTAAGAAGCAATTGTTGAGCTTTAGTGAGCTTTAACATTTACTGAACTATCGTTAACTACGGTCGTGAGTTGTATGATTTCATATGTCTTGCGTTTGCCTTATGCACAACGTTATAAATAAATAAATAAATATAAATAAATAACAACTCCAAGGAAGGACTGTTCAATTAGGCGATGCAAGCTTTTTTACTGAATAGGAATTGCGTCAGCAAAAGATACATGGGATTTGGCAATTGTAAATACAGTTGATAAAAAAAACAAAACCCGCAAAACCCTTCAATTCACACAGCGTGTTGGTCCGCATGTGGCGAGGTTCGCCCCATGCCCTCATTGGAATCTCATTGGTCACCCATTCCACTGATATGGAAGAACACGATAACGAGATTGGCCAACCAATGAGATTTCCGTTAGCACGATTTGCAAACTCCGCCCCTTTGAAACCGGCGCGCAATGTGGTTTGGGGTTTTTAGGTTTTTTTTGCTTCTTTTCATCGTTGGTGGACCACTACTTCAAATTCATTTTCGAGCACTATAACCCTTAGCTAGTCAAATGCGGTACTGCCTCCAACGCTGAACCATCAGTGCTTTTCGTCCTTATCAGTCACATTTCCATATCTCAGCGCTACACTTTTCACCGTCTCTTTTCCTAGTTCATCGCCTATGTACCCTTTCGAATAACCAAAAACCTCCAAACATTCCCCCACATTTCCGCGTATACTAACATAGCTCATACTTGGTCGAGTTATATTAGCGCTAGCGCTGACGCATTTTGTTTGCCTTTCCCGACCATGGACACAATGAGTCACACCATCGATTATCAGAAAAAAACAGCGTTTGCAACCCGAGAAGGTGCACTCCTGCAAATGAAATTGTTATGCACGAAAAACTGCTGTAAACAATGCTGTCATGGCCTGAAGCGCCTCTGTCGCTTGCACGCTCCGCAGGAACGAACCAGGATCAACCGCAAGGTCCGGTCAATTCCAAAAATCTTACGGAATACCCCCTCAGGAAGGTCTCATGCGGGTGATAATCCCTACCCCCCACATGAGGGCCCCGACTCTAACTTTTCGCTAGACTGCTTTAGACCAGCGGGCCACCCTTCCAAAAAAATGACAACACAACTCTGATGATTGTAAAGACGGACTGCCAATCGGTTCGTTGAGTTAGGTTCGATTGGATTTGATGGAACTCATTTGTGCCCCTAACATCACAGTATTCCAGATACATCCAATTCTAGACGTGCGGAGTCAGTTGGAGCCACCGCGCGACCACTACTCACAACATGCTCAGCGCCTGAGAAACTTTGACCACCTGCCCTTCCCCAGCTCGAACTGTTCACCGTGAACATTGTGACGGCAGTCATAAATAACGAGCAGATCAAGAGATTCCGTTCGAGAGAAGGAAAGTACAAAGAGAAAATATTTCACGTTCGAAAAATTTTCTCTAAATGGAGTCACACATCCAACCACCCCAACAATTATTAAGCAAGAATGAGCGCATGGCGCAACACCAACCATTACCGAACTCCGAGAGCTCTGTTCCATATTTCCATGGAAAATCATTGAACATAATTTTGCTACAGACTGCTCAAGGCAGAATTATTCATGGCCAAAAACCACGATAATTCAAGCACATACACAAAAATTTGTTATATTTTATATATCAACGCAATCCTTCAAACGCACTTGCAGACGTGGCAGGCTGACAAAACTGCATAAGACCCAAAAAGCACATTCACAGAATATTTGCATATGAAGTCGAATTTCTACTAATAATACAATACTATCGCTGATTTTGTTTTGATGACATGAGATGACCATTTAACGACTTCACTTGAGTAAATAAAAATATAATAAAACATGCTACCTTAGTTAGTTGGTTAGGTATGCGCTACCTATGGAACTCGTTAATGGCCCTAACATCACAATATTCAAAGACAAATCCAACTTTGGACGTGCGGAGTCACTTGGATCCCCAGCGCATCTCAAACATGTTCAACCCCGGAGAAATTTTAGGCACGCCCCTACCCCCGAAATGTTTGCCGTAAACTTTCTGACGCACATGGTGTGACAGCCACAACGTGCTCACTTGCATAAAACCGACTTCCCAGTGATGGCCTCTACCTTTAAGGTTGCCAGGGGAGGAGCCCACCAATGAGGAACACACTGCACCAAGTGACTCCGCCCATACAAAGATTCGACATGGGGCTTGTCTTTAGTGTACTAGTAGAAGAAAGCAACATATATGGTTAAAACAAGCAGATAAGGACGGCTGTGTGAGGGGAATGAGCAAGAATGTGACGACAACCATAATTTCTCTTTAGGTTAAGTGAAACACCCACAACATCTAGAAAGAAAGAGGGTAAAAAGAAAAAAAGAAGGAACTGAACAGTATTCCGGAGAAAGAAAAAAGAAATCTAAATTGCTAAAACACCCATATGTTCAAAATATACAATCTACTATGCTATACATGCCCTCAACGAGGAAAATTATTGTTGAATATTCGGTCGAGTATTGTGGAGTGACCGTAGATGTCTCTTCGAGTCGATGATGCTTTCACGAATTTGTTCTTCGCTTTGGACCAGCTGAATCATCGTATCCTTGTAATAATGCCACTGTCGACTTTCTTCTTCTTCGAAAAAACGCGACTGAAAAAAAAATAAAGTGAAAGAACAGCATAAAACTTTAAAAGCTATACATCTATCATTGAAATTACCGCATTGTGATATTTGATCACGACGAGAGCAATCGCAACTACTCACACAGCTCGAGAATCGTTTAGGTTCCCACCTCAGTATTTCACCCATTAAAGGCACGGGTCGAGATCACCCGATCAAGCGAACCCCCTCCTTCGATATTTTGACTAGGCGACCGCCCACCACAGGATGTGGTGTCAGGCTGGCACAACATGTGAAATCAACTAGCTCGGTTGCCGTGTTAAAACCGGCACACAGCCAGTAGACATGTTCGGAAAACTCGTCCGGACACGCCCTCTTTGCAAGTCGACCTCATTCACTGCTGTTGGGGGATGGCCTCATTTCCGGCATTGTCGACGATTTCTCGCTGTTTTTCGTCACTGGCGTTTCATTTCGCGCCACTGCACTCCCTTTCGAGCGCAAAAATACCCTCCACTCGCTCCCGACCCGTGCTTTTAAGGGCCACATTGTCAGTAATATAATAAACTGAGAGGATTAAACATCTATTTCAGCATTTCCGCGCGGGTCACTATATAGGCTGGATACACAAATACCTCTATAATCCTCCGTGGCAAAATGTTCTGTCATCACATAATGGGAGACGCAAAAGCGCACTAAATCGCTCGGCATTGATCGACTCCACAAATGCGCAGTAGTTATCACCACGTCAAATCAGACATTACAAAGTTGGCCATTATTCGAAAAAAGACTTGGTCACGATGAGAAACTGCAAAGTACAGATAAAGGGGCACCCTGTGGGCGGAGCTTGTGTAAAGAGGGCGGGGATTGCTAGTTTAAACAAAACCTCACTGGAATCCAACTTTTTTCAAGAATATTCGTCTTTACCAAAACTACTAGTTTGCACTACTACTGTTTGACAGAAACTTAGGATTGGGTCAGGATAAAATGCCTAAGGAATTAATTAAAATAAAGCCATTTGAGAAGTGAGATTCCTCCGATTCTTCTATTTCTACACAAAAAAAAACCAAAAAGGAATACAAGAATAAAAGGCCTACCATAGCACATTCAAGATCCCTCTCTCGTCGAGCGTACGTTAATCGAAGAAAGTTCACGTCAGCCAGACGTCTTCGAAGTCGGGACTCTTCCATTAGCACATCTCCCTTAAATTCAATGTCGTATTTGGGGATTTCAAACTGATCCCTTCAAGATTTAAGATTTCTTGAAACACTACTGCGCCAACATAACTTGTTTATAATCATTTTGCACATCATAAAATAATAAAACATGAAAATGAAAACATTCCGTCTACCTGATCACCTCCATTACGAATATGATCCAACACTTTAGCCATCAGACATCGTAACTTCATCTCAAATCGTAACAACTCCTTGAAATGGTCCAGATGTCGTCGGACCTGAACAAACAATACTGCTTATTCTTTCATAAAAGAGCGAGTACCTTCAAAGAGAAACCCTAGTACCTTGTTGGCAAGGCCGGGATCGTGTTTCTCAATGATACTCAACAGGAATTCTCCGTTCCGTTCATTCGCTTTCATATCATCACTGATCGCATGTCGATCATCTTCATAATCACAAAGGCGCCGATTCGCCGACCCTATCGACTGAAATGCAATGATTCAGAAAATTTCAACGAAAAAAAAAGGGTAAGCAAAGGAAGGGCAAACTGTTGAATCACCTCGATCTCAGCAAAAAAGGTCATCAGAGATTTCAAAAATCAAAGGACCTTACAAATCGAAGAAAACTCAAACAAATCGCTAAAATTACCGCTAATATTACCTCCATTCGCTTCTCATCCAACTTCTTCAGCTCTTGAGATCCCAAATCAGTAGAGTTGTACGCTTGTTGGAGGCTGACCAGAGACGGCGATCCGATCAAACTGTTCAAAAAAGTGGACGTCGTGTGGCTGATAGGAGACGACAGCGAACTCATACTTGTCGACCTGAAACACATATGGATTACAGACCATGGGAAACATCTAAAAGATAATATCAAATGTAACAACAAAATAAAACAAGAAACTAGCCAAAAATTGAAATTAAAAACTAACATAAGTGCCGTCTGAAAGCTAACTTATAGCTTCGGGGAGCAAATTTGTTACGCCCTGAGCATAAAAAAGAGTTTGCAATCATTGAGCAGTCAACAGTAAATTCCTACGCCAAAGAATTTCTCAGAAAGATTTAAGACCGACACATGCGAAAGGACCTCAACGGTTTTTTTCCTCTAATTTCCCCTAAAATTTTCAAGTTCAATGATTTTACTCCAATCAATTTATTTATCTTCTCGAGATCGAATCATACTTTTCTATACAGCCTGCAGTTCAAGTGTGGAACAGATACGTATCGGTAGTACGGTAGGATGGAACCTTTGAAGGAGTCGAATTGCCGAAGTATGATTCAATTTTTGAAGTTACGAACATAACCACGTTCTTAAGTCGTGGCAGAGCGCTGCAGCGAGCTGCCAGGATGGCTAATTATTTCAACTAACTCCCTTGAATTCCAACTCCCTTTTGAACCTTTCAAGAATGAGCTCGAGTGTAACACCTCACAAGTTTGACGAAAACATGCTGGAGATGTTATCGAAATCCTAGAAAAGCTCCGAGTTCTAATTCACGAATAAAATTTTTTTCCTCTTTTCTGTCTGAGAAGTAGAAATTAAATTTCACGAGTCAGTTTTCGAGCGTATCACTCGTGGGAATATGCAAAAGTTAGGAAGTGACGGCGGTGACAAACCGCGTGGCTAGCCCTTTCAGAGAACTTTTAAATACGAGCACCGCGACATCACTAGATAAACTAAAGCATCATAGATTGGGAATTAATTTTTTCCAGTGAACTTCAAACTTCGCCATAGTTCCAAAGAGGCGATGGCGACTATCTTATTGAAGAGAACAAGTGAGCGAGGGTTTCCCCCTGAGACAAAAAAAGAATAAACAATGCTCAGGAAAAAGAACAATCATTGCACAATGCATAGCAGAGAACACTCCGAAACTGATTTCTGCAATTTTCTTAATGATAATGACGACGCCGCGGAACATTGTTGAGGAATTTGCTACGCGCTGATAAGATCCAGAAGCACAATGTTCATGAATCACCTATCACTGCGTTGCAAAATAACTCCAAACAACCTCGAGAAAAAAATCAACGGTCATAGTTAACCAGACACGGATTTCAAAAAGGCATTATGAAATGAATACTATTAGCGCAACATTCTTCCCTTGCTCCTTTCCTCCGATTTATTTATTTTCAATTTATTTTTAATTTTATTTTTATTTACTTTTATTTTTTATTTGATTACCAGATTAGTCCCCCGTCAACCGCCGGGACCTTCCTTTCCTGCGCAAGCTTTCTATCCTCCGCTATGGTCCCTTCCTCCTGTGACACCAACACCTCGTGGAAGTGACGCGTATGCAACACAATGGTGTTTCAACAGTAGAAGGGACACAATCATGATATGACGGTAGATTTTTCGCTTCCCTTCCTCATCCTCCCTTCCTCTCTCCACTGCCCTCCAGCTGCCACTGCAGCACCATGTGGAATGAACGGAAGTGTGCTAAGCAGGTGTTTATATAGCCCTAAGAGTGTTATCACAACTATCCTGCTACAAAACATTGATATCTCAAATCCTGTAAGCTACCCGATTTGTTAGCGGTTTGTTTATCCCATGAGCTTCCTTCTCACTCACTTCATTTTGCGGACGGACACACATACATACATACACACACATACAGATACACAAACCGACACACAAAGTTAGCGCTTTATAAAATAGAAGGATTTAGTTATTTATTCTTGTTTTTTATTGATCAATAACTCGCCAGTTTTTCCCCTGCATTCACGAAACTCCTTTCGGAATTGGAAAATACAAATAAATCCGATGCCATGGCAAAATAATAAAGCAGTCTGAAGGAGCCCGTCATCCCCTTCTGTTAATTGCCCATTATAATGAAAAGGATTATTTTAAAAAATTCCCTGAATTAAGGAAAATTAAAGAAGCCTGTTTGATTTTCCAGCAAAACGCTTTTATTAGTAATTTAACAGCAAAAATTCTTGAACTGCTATTTCGAAAAAACAAAAACAGAAATCCTACCTGTTCAAGTGATCCACTTTCAAATTTTTCGGCTTTGCTGGAACAGCTGGCTTTTCCTTTTTGATCTCAATATCATGTACTAGCATGTTTCTTTCCTCACTGGGCATCGGATGGACCTGAAATAATCAACGACGTTAGGATATAGAAAGGTAAAGAGAGCTTTTTTCAAAGGAAGAAACGCGTAAAGCAGTCTCAATGTACGCACTCAAGCAAGACAGCGCCGCGGCCAGCAAACGGCCATTCACACATAATTGAATGTGTCACCGATCCAAGAAAATTGAATACTCACACCTATGGAACGTTTTCCTGCTCTTTTATTTGCCCAATAGCCTACGCGAAAGGGCACTTCTTTGCGAAACACCTCGTATAACTCTCATGTTTGCATCTTTTCATCGTAAGAACTATTTTCATGCACAGAAGAGGGCAAGTTGGGTTCCCCGTTTGAGGTACCCTAAAAATGGCCCAAAACACGGAGACGGCATTGGATATTTGGACTCCCAGCACACTCAATTCATTAAAAAGCAGTGTACTGAAATACGGGGGTGAGAAAAAAATTCAAAAGCCGAAGTAGTTATATACAAACCAAAAGTGGTTGTCGTTAAAAATGCCCAGCCCTCCTGAGCAGCTGATTCCCAACTACTCGTTGAAGCTTAGCCTTTAACCCTTTCGGCCCTGGCGGTGGCAATTGCCACCATCAAATTCAAATGCTTGCATTGCCGCTGAAACAGCATGGTTTTTCTAATCCTGCTAGAGGTTGCTTCAGTCAACCTTCCCCTTCCTAATTATGAGCTAAACCTGCCATTTCATTGTGTGTTGCTGTTAGTATTACAAGTATTTGTGTACAAGTGCAACAATGAATGGGCGCTGACCCCCGCAACCGGCCCGAAAGTAAGTGTGACTTTTTCTTAAAATACTTGAAGTAGATCCATTCTTAAATCAAAATTATGGGTTATAATGTTATGCAAGATTATAAACTTTTTCGGCATAACTATGAAATTTCGAATTGTTTCGACATAAGCTTAAAAACTAAGAAGGTGGGCCAATTTTCAAAGCTTCTTAGTTTCTTTGTTTGTGATCGAATAGCTTCCAAATTTCGCCATAATGATACCTATATGCTCACAAGTTTCTCCACGGGGAAAAATTCAGGTCCGAAAGGGTTAAACCATCAACCCTCTTTTTCAACTCAGAAGAAATGTTTGATTTTGGGTACAACATGGATCAACGAATAATCGCTAGGACGGAGTCGTATTTGGCATACGGGGACAGACACTACATACTTGCCGGGCTGGTTGTGCATTTACGAGAAGATTGGACCAAGAATTTTAGGGGCTCGGGAATGAGGGACTAAAGAGAACACTTGGAAAAATTTTCGCGATTGGGTACAGGAGTCCAGAGCAGATCAAAGCTTCAAGACAAAGAAGAAAGATCGTTTTCCGGCAAAAATTGCTGCCCAATAATTTTACAACAAAAAACTTTCATAAACTGTTGCACTGGAAACAGGAGGAGCAGCTATTGAAAGACCGTAAAATATGCTCGAGGACAATGCATGTCCTATCTGACCTCAAAACAACGGCTATGCAATTTCAGACAGAGCCGGAACAAATTCGACATTAATTAAAGATCTTGAATGAACTGGAAACTGAGCTAACCTCCACTGTAGGTTTACTGTGGAGTGGTGGAGGCGGCGTAGAGCTGCTCGATAAAGACGTATTGGTGATGTCTAACGAGCTCATTGAAGTCGAAAATGTCGAATTCAACCTGAAAATCAGCGATTAAGATGAAAAAATCTTCAGAATCATGTATGAATCACCATTAAGAAAATTCCCATGATGTCGGGTATATAAATTCTCAAAAGAGCTCTAGTATACGATCAAAGAGGAAGAGTGAGGTAATGCGACCTAAAACACAACGAAATAAGTATGTATGAATTAGGTTGCAGATTAGGGCTAAGAAAACGCTGGGCGCGTTGACTCGGCGGAACTCAGCTGAACAAGGATTTGAGGTCGAGCAACATTGTCGAGCGCTCCTTCACTGAAAACGGCCACTCAAGTGGTCGAGCGACTTTTTGTTCATTTTCCCATCGAAAAGCACGCGAAACAGCAACACCATCGAGCAGTGGGATAAAACTGGAAAACGCGCACACACACAAGAATTCATGCGGTCGCTTCTCGGACAGCAAACATATGTAGCTATTGCCTCAG